GAAATTCTGCATCCTGAAAAACATTACTGTGTTGTGCAGGGTCGCTGCGAGCCAGAATCTACTCGGCAGCAGTGGATTTAATGACATGGGAATCAGCTGATCAATCTCTAGGTTGGGATAAAAAGTCCTGAGGACATCAGTTATGTTCATGGGCCAAGACAGAGCAGAAAGGAAGGCTTTGTCAATTAATGGTGCTGAGAGAGGTGGCCGGCCATGGCTGGCTTTGTGGAATGACTGTGGAAGTCCATGTATCAGTGACGGTGGAAAAACTTAAGTTATAGAATGCAGCAAACGAGTAAATGGAATATTTTGTTACAAAGATTTAGGAGCATTTGGGTGGCAGTCTCAGAATGCTGCATGTGAAAATAGGACTTAATTAAAAGGGGGGGGGGTAATGACTTAATTAAACGTTGAGGTGACACTCATTTTCTCTTCCCTGATTTTTTTAAATGTGCGTTGCCATCTCAGTCAGGGTTCAGATGGAGAAGTCAAGGGGCAGAGCAGAGAGGCCAGGGAGTCAGGGACACGTCCACTAGCCCTACAGCCCCAGGAAACACCTCCTACTGCTTGGCTGGCCTTTTGTCATCAGAAGTCAGGAGAGGTGACACTCAGGGGCCCTCTGACCTCTGACCTCCTGGCCATGCAGCTTCTCCAGGACCTTCATTACCCAGGGAAACGAATTCTGTGTGTGATGGCAAAGGTTTTGTCACTCCCTGTCTTGCCCATCTCAAGTTGCTCTTTCTTTTCTTTAATTTTTCCTTAACAGAAACCACATATCCTTCTCTAGTCCTGATCATTCTGGTTTAGATTTTGATTTGCTTAAAAGACTTCCGTCTTTCCCTGAGTGGGCACTTTGGAAACACATTTAAAATTCTAGGAAACCAAAGCGTTGTGGAGGAGGTTCAGGGGAGAGACGTTGGGCCTTCTGGGAAACCACCTGGCCACGGTCACCTGGAGTGCCCCGCTGATGGAAGAAGCCCTTCACCTGTCCACCAAGACCTCTCACCTGCTTCTTCCTGTTCCCCAGGAGTCCAGCAGACCAGGCTTCCTGGTGATCCCTCCTTGTCTTTACAGCCTAGCCTGGAGGCTTCCTTCCCTCCCTTGCACTGCTGTTGCTAACCACCACAGGAGCCCTGGTGTCCCTGCCCACCTGACTACTAAGCGGGTGGTTCAAAGCTCCTGCTCCTGTAAAGATGTACTGCCTTGGTCACCCCATAGAGCTGTGGATCTCAACCTTCCTCATGCCGCGACCCTTTAATACAGTTCCTCATGTTGTGGTGAGCCCCCAACCATAAAATTATTTTCGCTGTTACTTGCTACTGTTATGAACCAGGCAACCCCTGTGAAAGGGTTGTTCGACCCACCAAAGTGGTCGTGAGCCACAGGTTGAGAACTGATGCCATACAGAGTTGCTGTGAGTCGGAGTCAACTCAATGGCAGTGGGGATTTTGGGTGGCCTACCACCAAGTGCACCACCACTTCCCTGCCCTCAGCATCCTTTGAGAAAAGTGGACCCAAGCCTTACTGTGGGCAAAGAACAGTATTGGAGTGGAGAAGTCTGTTTCTACTTTTTCCTTTCCTCTTAATGGTTGGGAATCCTGCTGTGATTTTTTAATCTTGAGATTTAGTGTGCATCATAGGGCCATGGGGTTTTAAATTATTTAATGAAGCTTGTTAAGGACTGAAACAGTTGTGCTTGCTACTGGTATTGTGACTACTCACACTTGGAAGGCATTTTCCTGGGGGAAAGACCCCAAATTTAAATGCATCTTCTAGGGAATCCTTTGTTAAGTCTTAAATAGGGCAGAGACAAACTGAATGGATGAGGGAGATTAGCAGCACTATGCCCCACCATGAACGATGCCCAGAGGCTTCACAGCCAAGAAGCTACTTAAACAGGACTTGGAAGACAAAGTTAGGATTAGGGACAAGCCAGTGAATCGCAGTGGAAGCAGGACAAAGAAGTGGGACAGAGACTATGGGATCCATACCTTGTGGCAGAGGAGTTTACAAGGTTGGTTCAGATTGCAGATTAGATATGTTTATAAGATTGATTCAGGGCTTCCTACCACATAACCGTGTGACGCTAGTACCCTCCGGTTCCCATAACGAGCACAGCCAGGCAAATTCCTGAGAGTGAGCCCGCCCCTGCCTGCACTGGCCAGAGGAGGTTCAGCAATCCTCTTTAAACACTCTGCTTTATCGGGTCACTAGGGACCAGAATGGGCTCAATGGGATTTTGGGGGAAGATGGGGTAGGGTGTGGGGGGTGAATTAGGACTTGTCCTAAAGGTAGAGCTCTTTATATCATCATTCAATGGTCGGAAAGAACTCAGTGAGGGCTGAATTCACGCAGAGATGCAAAATGGATTTGAGGCTCCCGGGGTAAGCCATTGGCCTCCCACAAACATAGTGTTCTGGCTTGAAGCTTGAGTAAATGGGCAGGTCATCTCAGTCTGAAAGGCAGGGCAGAATGGGATGTCCTGTTCTTGGTCAGGGTGTACCAGGGTTAAACCAAAACAAAACATCAGAACTCAATGAAATGTGGGTATGAGGCTTGTTCGGAACAGTTCTTCAGGATGTGCTTTCAGACCATTTGGATTGCAGAAAAAGCAAATGGCTCAAAGAAACGAGGTACAGTTGATCTGACGAAGAGAAGACACTGAGTCAAACTCATGGCCATCCAGCCAGTGCTGACTCAGAAGAGGAGGGGGAAGCAGAACATTGACCCTTGGCTCATCTTACCATTGGACACTGTCAGTCCCCTTGACTGAACTCTGTTGGTATCAGGTCACAAGATGGCCTCGGCCCCTCCACTTAGCCATGCCTTTCAACATTCAAATGTAGCAAAGCTTCCTACAGGAAAGAAGGGAAAAACCAAGTCTTAACTGTTAAAAAAATAAAATAAAATAATGGATATTTTATTTCCTGAGCAAGACAACCCCAGATCAAAGCAAGATACCTACTATCAAGTTCTCTCGCTGACGCCGGAAACGGGCTGTTCACTCAGGACCGCGAACTCCAAAACCTGAGGTCCAGAGACTGTCTGTACATCTTCCAAGATGACCCTTGGTGTCAAAGGGTGGGACTGCGTCAGATACACAACCATGTCCCAGGATTGTGATTTGTCTTAGACCAACGGTTCTCAACCTGTGGGTCACAACCCCTTTGGGGGGTCAAATGACCCTTTCACGGGGGTTGCCTGATTCATATAAGTAGCAAAATTACAGTTATGAATTTTTCGTATGAAGTTATGAAGTAGCAATGAAAATAATGTTATGGTTAGGGGGTCACCACCACATGAGGAACTGCATTAAAGGGTTGCGGCATTAGGAAGGTTGAGAACCAGTGTCTTAGACAATATGACCATGAGCCTCCCTTTCCTCTACCTGTACGTGGTGATGGTACTGTTTTGCTGTAGGATTTGGTATGAGTTTAAAATATTGTATTAGTCTGGGTTGACTAGAGAAACAAATCCATAGACACTAATATGTGTATAAGAAAGAGCTTTGTATCAAAGAGTAGTTTTATATTAAAAAAAAATCACAGCCCAGTGCAGAACAAGTCCATAAGTCCAATATTAGCCCATATGTCCAATACCAGTCTATAAATTCCTCGTCAGACTCATACAACGCATGCAATGATATCAGATGCAGGAAGATCACAGGCCATTGGGTGGAAAGTCTTGTAGTTCCAGTGGCATTGGAAGTATCTCAGTGCTGGGTGGGTCTCCACATGGCTCCTCTAACTCCAGGGCTCTGGTTCCATCAGCTTAGCTCCATGTGGCTTGTCAGCAGGAAGACAGGCAGAGAGGGTGTGTGTCCCACCTCCAGGGAGGAAGACAGGAGTTCCCAGAATCCTCAGGGAAGGCCATGCCTCATTGGCTATGACCTGATGGACAGGCTAGATTCCACCCCTTCGCTCAAGTTGACAGTAGATTATGTAACTGCCACAAATATTGTGTTAAAAAACCCACTTGTATTTATATGTGTGTATATATGAAAAGCTGAAATATCTAGTATTCAATTCATAATAAATCTACCAAACAAAACCCACTGCTGTGGTATCGATTTTGTCTGCTTGGGTTTCCAAGACTGTAAACCTGGAGTGGGATTGCTTTTCTACATTGATTAAATTGATCACATGAACTTTTCCTGTTATTTTGTTAACGTGGCAAGTTACACCGATTGATTTTGAACGTTCAACCCGCCTTACATTGCTCACAATATACCCCACTTGGTTATAGTGCGTAGTTCTTTTAATTTATTGATGGATTGGACCCACTAATGTGTTATTGAGAATTTTTCCATTCAAATTAATGATGGCTTTCAGCTCGGGAAAATTTTCTGGAATTATTTATTTGGTTTATCCTTGGGTATACTTGTTCATTAAGAATGATTTCTGAAAATGCAGCTCCCCCTAATTTTGATGTTTCCACCACAGGGAGGGGCCTCTCTGAAAGGCTGTCCTTTCTACCGCTGAAAAGATGACAAGATATTTTTACTATTTCCCTTAACAGAAGAGATTTATTGAGTTCTAGTTTATATCTCTTAGTCGTGTAAAACTTTAAGGGATGATACAGTGTGGTATAAACGGGCTATTTCAAAGTGAGGAAAGTTCTCACAGTTTATTTCAGAGAACGCAAAGCCTCAGAATCCACAAAAACCTTCCGGGTTTGGATATTGCATTTGGGGATCTTGTAGAAATCGACATTGGGCTTCATTTTGCTGGGAAAATATCCTGGTGAAGAATTAAGATAAATAGAATCGTCGCGTGGGCAGCTGCATTCTGTGTGTGTGTGTGTGTGTGTGTGTGTCACTTAATTCACCAATAAACATTTGCTGAAGTCTCTGAGCACAAGACCCTCCATTGTATAAGTACTTACATACAATAGGTAACATATGTTTAGTTCTGGTTTTAATGACCAAGTCGGTTAATTTTGTACAGAGTTTTTATCTTGCACCCAGCTGATGATCGGTGCTCTTTGTTCGGATTTCTCAGGACCTTTCTCATCACCCGCACTGGTCTTCAATCATGGGCAGGAAGCTGGATCTGTCTGGTTTGACTGACGATGAAACAGAGCATGTCCTCCAGGTGGTTCAGCGGGACTTCAATCTCCGCAAAAAGGAGGAGGAGCGACTCAGGTGAGTGAGATCCGTCGGCGCCCAGGTGGAAACATGCTTCCTGTTCCGGGACGGTTGGCTCTGGATTCTGACCGCTGCCCGTCATGTGAACCCATCCTTCGGTTTAAGAGATGAATGTCCAGCCCGTTTTAGGAAGGCTTTCCAACTTAATACTGGGCAGCCGATCTGGACATGTACGCGGCTGTTCTCACTCCCAAGTGAGCATGTCCCGCGGCTGCTCACCCCGGCACTTGCTCCCAGCTAAAGAGTGAACGGAGGTTGTGCTAAAGGTGGATGGCCTTACTTTCCCCCTTAGTGGATCATGCAGAGGGAGAGCCGAGGCAAACCTGCATCTCGGGAGAATGAGGCTCCTGGGTTGGGCCTCTCAGCTACCACAGGGCAGGAAGAGAGCTGTGAAATCCTGGTGTAAAAGAAAGGCCCACAGGTGGGAGTGGTGCCACCTGGCTCAGTGTCCGCTTTCTAGAGCAGGTGGCGGAGGCCCAGAGAGGGATCCTCCTGACTCCACTGCAGTGGGTCATTCCCCTGTGGACCATGCAGGGAAATGCTGTTGCAGCTCAGGTGGTCAGTAATGCCTAACTTCGGCAGAAGTTAGAGTGAGAAATGAGGGCTTAGAACCTGATGGGAGACCATTCTTAGCTCCCTCCCCTTGTCCCTTAAAACTGTCATTCCTTGGAATTTCATCGCCGTGTGCATGGTACTATCTTCCTCCGAGACACAAGCCACAGAACCTCAGAGACTGCATTTGTCCTACCTGCCTTGTTCCCTGCAGCCACCGTGCTGCCAAGCCCTGCAATTCTGCCCCCACACCATCTCTCTCTGCCTCCGCCTGTGTCCAGCTTTTCTCCCAGTCATTTTAGCCGTCTTATATATATTTACATATATATCTTAATGAAAGAAGAATGCTAAAATCTGTACATCGGATACTGGATTTCTAGAGTTCCATTTCTCGGTGCTTTAAAAAAAATCATTTTATGGGGGGCTCTCACAGGTCTTATAACCATCCACATACATCCATTATATCGGGCACATTTGTACATTTGTCCATCATAATTTTCTGAACATTTTCTTTCTACTTGAGCCCATGGTATCAGCTCCTTTTTTGTCCCTCCCTCCTTCCCCCATCCTCTCACCCTGGTGACCCCTTGATATATGATACATTATTATTATTTTCATATCTTACACTGTCCACTGGCTCCCTTCACCCATGTTTCTGTTGATCGTCCCCCTTGGGGGTGGGGTGGTAATACTTCGAACATTGTGATCGGTTCCTCCTTTCTCCTCTCTTTCCCCCCACCTGCCGCCATCCTCCTGGTGTCCTACTCCATGTCCCTGAGGGTTTGTCTGTCCTGGATTCCATGTGTTGAGTGCTCTTATCTGTACCAGTGTACACGCTCTGGTCTTGCCAGATTTGTAAGGTAGAACTGGGGCCATGATAGTGGAGGGGAGGATGCATTAAACAACCAGAGGGATGTTGTTTTTTGTCAGCGCTATACTGCACCCTTAGCCATCTTTTTTAATCTAATCTTCCTTCTTTCCCTCTCTGCTGTGATTCCTCCAAGTCACCTTCCCAGGGCAGGTGGGATACTCAATCTCAGCCCCAATTATCCTCTTTCCCAGTCTGCTCAACGTCGTAGTAAATCCTTCCCATCGCTCATAAGAGGCAGGCTTTCTCTTCTCTCTCTTGGGCATATAAGAGCGAGCAAAGCCAGTCTTTGGGATGTTTTTTATCTCTGCCAATGCACTGCCATGGTCAAAAGCTCTGTGTGCCTTTGCAAGCCTCAGAATGCGGCCTGCTCTCATTGAGATGCCATGGAGTGTAAAATACACACCCAGGTTAAAAACAACAACAACAAAAACGAAAACAAGTCATTAATATTTTTAGACCGATGACTAGTTGAAACGCTAATGTTTTGGAAGTTGAAGAACACGATGATGAAAATTAAGCTCCTCTGTTGTTTTGGAAACTTTTCCGTAAAGCCGTAACTCAAAAACCCACTGCCACTGAGTCCATGCTGACTCATAGAGACCCTACAGGTCAGGGCACCACTGCCCTGTGGGTTTCCAAGACTGTCATTCTTTGTGGGAGTAGAGCGCCTCATCTTGTGGTTTGCAGCACGTGGCTCAGACTCTATTTCTATTGGACCGTGCTGTCCTTAAAGAGGAGACACGGAGTAAATGAACAAATGAATGTATGTATATATATATATGTGTGTGTGTTTGTGTGTGTGTGTGTGTGTGTGTACTCACATTTATATACATATCATAGACATAAACAGATGCATCAGATACGTGCACATACACTAGGTAGGGATGAGAGCAGTGAAGAGGAGGGCTGATCTCTTTTTCTGTACCACTGTCGCTGAGACTCCTCACTTAACTGTCTGCTTATGTGAGTCTGGCCTTGGAGGGGAGGCTGCTATTTTCCACCTGGGCTGCTGCAAGGTGGCTGGGATGTGAGCAGAGCCTTAAATGAAATTGGGGAAGAACCTGCTGCTTTGTGGGGTAAAAGATAAACCAAGGTAGAAGGTAGCAGCAAGGGTAAATCCCTAGTTTAAAAACATACCTGGTGAGCTCCCAGAGGATGGAGGGAACAGCAGAGGGGCGTCCAGGTGAGAGCCAGAGCCCTAGCCTTGTAACCGTCCATCAGTGGTAAAGCCTCCGAGTCATCGTGCTGGGAGATGAGGAGTCCGTTGGTGGGTCTGAGGACAGGAGAGGCATGCACTGATACTGATTTTAGTAGAATCACCGTGGCTGTTCTGTTGGGGACACAGATGTATAAAGCCGAGAGGAGAAATAATGCAGGAGACTATTTGTAGCCATTTCAGAGGAAGACACCCTCTTCTTGTTGGGTGGCAGGAAAGATGCATCTCGGTACACACACACCAAGCTGATGGGTGATGCTCTGGTCACCAGATGGGGTCAGAGTGGAATATACAAAAGGGTGACAGGCGTCTTAAGTGGCTGCTGGCATAGCATTACAGAACTGCCCCCAGACCCCGTTGAACCACAAGAACAGCATACAGACTCCCCTGGGGATCATCTCATCAGCTTCGAACCTTCACTTCTTGCCTCCTTTTCACATTCTTCCCCCAACACCTCTCCTGGAGATGCCTTGATTCTTCAGTATTCGAGGGTGAGGCAGCTCACGCCCTGCTCTGTAACCAGTTTGCATCTCACCTGGGTAGTGCATAGGTTAATTTTGAATGCTGGGATCCAACCCGCAGCCCTGAAATACTAACAGAGCCTGTTGTGGGTTGTCCCTTTGCAGAACTTTCATGAATCTGCAGGTGACTGATTAGCTCCTTCCTCTTCTCTCTGTTATGAACTCATTGTGCTTTTTTTGCGGTCCTCTTAAAGGAGACTTGCTGGCGGGGGGCGGGGGGTGGGGGTGGATGGCACTCCAGTGCTTGCTTAGTATGCCATCGAGGCCAGATGCTATACTAATGCGCCTGTCAGGGACAAGCAAGGGTCCTGTGGTTCTCGTGGACACAGGGTATGACTCCCATTAAGAATGCCTTTCCCACCATTATTACCTTGTGCTGGATACCCACCCTCTGAGCCTCAGAGGTCAAGATGGGCCCAGGGAGGTCCGGGTGTGTTATTACTGTGCACAAACTCTCTCTTTTCCTTGAGAAAGGTGGTGTTTCTGGAATCTCTGCCCTGATTTTTCAGGTCACTTCTGCTGTCGGAGCCTTTGGGGGACCAGGGCAACCCATGCTATTGGCTCCTTCTTTCTGTTAGGGATCCATCCCCGGGATCCTTAGTTCTAGGCATGTCAGGCACCGGGAGGCACAGCTTCTTCATGACAGTGCAGGTTTCCCCGCTTCCCTTTGCGTTGCTTGCCCTCTCTGCTTGGAAGGGTGGTCCCAGTAAGAGAGTGAAGAGGGATCACTATGACTCGAGTGCCTACATGGGATTCAAGGGATGCCTGGTGACAAATGGTGACGTGCTCGGCTGCTGTGTTAGGACAGGTTGACTAGAGAAACAAAGCCAGGGACGGACGCTCATATATGTGTAAGGAAGAGCTTTATATCAAGAAGTAGTTATATATGGAGGAAACATCCCAGCCCAGTCCAACTCAAGTCCGTAAGTCCAATACTAGTCCATAAGTCCCTCTTCAGACTGACGCAGCCACATGCAGTGATGCAGAATGCAGGGAGATCACAGGCCGGTGGATGCAGAGTTGCGTGGATCTAATGGTGGTGGCTCTGGCAGCTTTCTGAGGAGTGACTGGATAGCAGGAAGGTAAAGGCTGAGAGAGAGCGAGAGAGAGGGTTCCCAGGACTCTCCTTGTGATACGGCCATGCCCACAAGGTGTCACCATCAGGCTGTGACCTGATTGGCAGGCTAGACTCCACCCTTTTCTACATCTTCAAATTGACCCGAAATTATGTAACTACCACAGCTGGTAACTGAAAAGGTGTTGGTTCAGATCCACTAGCCTATGTGTGGGAGGAAAGACCTGGCGAGCCTGCTTCTGGTATGCGGCAGCCTAGGCAACCCTCTGGGGTAAATCTACATGGTCGCCCGGCATTGCTGTGAGTTGGAAAATCTCAATGGCACACACCAACAGCAGATGGAATTCAATGAGAATAATGGATGGATGAGCATGACCAGACAGTGTCTGCAATTCTGCCTGCATAGCTATGGGTCAAGCAGTCTTTCCATGTCATGGCTCCTGGCGCATAACGTCTTAGAGAGGGAGCCCGGTGGAGGAGAAGCTACACACGGCTTCCTAGGCTATAAATATTCAAAGTGGGGGTCGGCGGGGGCAGTGGTTCAGGTAGTAAGATTTCTCACTTTCCATGATTCACTTCATGCCCAACTATCACCCGATGTCACTGGAGGCTTGTGTATTGTTTGGAGGGTGAACTGATTTCAGTGGTGCTTCCAGACTAAAATAGACAAGGAAGAAAGGCCTGGTGATCTACTTTTAAAAATTGCACAAAAACCCTCTGGATCACACTGGTCCGATCCCATTACACATAGGGTAACCATAT